CCCACCCCCCCCCGCATGTCGCAGACCCTCAGGGTCCCCCCGGGCGCAGCCCCCGCCTCCCGGCCTCCCTGCCTTGTCCTGCAGCCCCGCGTTTGGGGCCGTCTTCGCCATTGCGGGGGGCTCCCAGTCACCCAGCGCGGGTTTGTGGGGAGCACGGCGGTGCCAGCGGCATCCCCCTGCCTGGCGCGGGGCAGGGACGTGGCGGTGCTGAGGTTACACGTTGTGGGGGTGTTCCTACAATTTGGAACAGGTGGGGGAACAGGTCTGAGCCCGGCACGCTCGAACCCTCGCCCCGGAGCTGAGGCTGGTGGGGATGTGCCTCTGCAGGGGTTTGGTGGGGGTGACAGCACATCTAGTCCCTGCTTGGAGCAGAGTGAGGGTTATTCCAGAGCCTGTGTGTGAGTGTGTAGGGCGAGGCCAGCCCCCAGCCCCTCACACACCTTCTCCCCTGCTGTCTGACCTCCTCTGCCAACAGGCAGGGCCCCAGCAGCTTCCCCGTGCAGGCTTGTCCCCTGCCTGCCATGCACTCTGCCTGTCCCGTGGCTGGCAGGGCTGTCAGTACGGCCACCCTAGCCCTCTGTCCTGCTGGGTGGGGAAGAGCCCAGGCGCAGGGACAGAGAGTGCCACGCACTGCCCGCGAGCGGGGAGAGCCAAGGCAGGCGCTGGCAGCGTTGTAGGGCGCGGCGGGGAGCAGAGATGCACTGTCATTGCCCACGGTTGGGGGCGAGCCGGCAGGAGCCGCAAGGCTGGCAGGTCTCCGTGCACGGTGCCAGCTGCTGTGCTGGCTCCTGTCACCAGGCCTGTCAGAGCAGCTGTGGGATGAGGACGCTGCAAACCCCAGCAGAGCAGGTGTTTCCCTCCTGCAGTCCCCTCTGTCTGCATCCGATGGCTGGCAGGACACTCCTGGCCTCCCTCCCTGCCCTTGGCCCTGGTTTCTTCCTTCCTTGGGGGCATTTTGCAGCACTGCTGCTGGCTGCAGAAACGTCGGAGCAGGAGGAGCCCCCTCGCCCCAGCAGCTCTAGGGCAGGATGGCTTTTGCAGCCCCTTTCTTGCAGTTGAGACCCAGCACTGACTGCGCTTTCAGATTTGCAAGTCACCACCTCCAGCACCTCTTCCCTTCTCTCCCCATGCGTTTGTGAGTGGAAAGCCCCCATCGCATGGCGATGCCATCTGGTCACCTCCCAGCGTCGGGGCGTCTGCAGCAGGCAGGGAAACACCAGGAGAGGCTTAAGCACCAAGGATGCTCACACACGCTGTAGCCAGGCGCAGCAAGCAGACCTGTGCTTTAACGTGGCCAGCAGGCAGGGCCTGTGAGCATCAGGCTTCGTTGCAGAACAAGTACAGTTCTTTGATGTGAGTGGGCCTGCACAAGCGCGTCCAGCCATGGTGGGCTTGTGGCCGTCTCTTACTAATTCCTTTCATTCTCAAAAAGCGACCTGGGGTGGTGGAAGGGATTCAGCAAGCCCTTCAGCATCTGATGCCTGAAAATTCAGTTTCTCACAGCCAAGACACATCTATGACCCGTGGAGAGGGACCGTGCTTTGGCACTGGCTTCTTTAACCCATCCTCCTGTAGCAGGAGCTGGTTGCCTGAAATCAGTAGACTCAGACCAAAAATAACATGGTTATTTTGGTACATCTTCCAAAAAGCTGCATCTTCTCTGGTACATCTTCCTAAAGCTCTCCTCCTGAGCAACTGTTGCATCAAAGCTGGCTTGGTTTGTGTTTTGTAAAGGCTCTACACAGTGGAAGCAGATGTTAATTCAAGGAACTGTAGGGATTTGTGTTACTTGGGGGCTAAGCTAGATCATTTGACGTGGGAGAGGGGTAGAAATGGGGACTCTCAGCATGCACCGCTGCTTCTGCCCAGCTGCAGGGACTTCTGTTGCTCTCACTGATACCCTAATTCTTGGGGGATCCTGCCATTAAGCTGTGAGTGTCTGCATCTAAGTCTGTATCTAATGGAAAAGGAGTTTGTGCTAAGGGGAGGGAAAGGAGGAACAGGCTGCAGAGGCCTCATGGAGCAGAGGATGCTGGACTACGCCCTGCTGGCCACGGGAAGATAGCCAGTTTGCTCAGTGCCTTGGCAGCTTTTTAACCCTGCTAAATGTGTGGTGCAGACCTCGCAACACGCCCAAGAACCTGTTCCCCTTCCCGCCTCGTGGTCCCTCCTTGCTAACCACAAGACTCGACATTGCAGCCCACTGGTCCGTGGAGATGCTCGGGGAACCAACGAGGATGTGCCTCCCAGCGGGTCAGAGTTATCCAACAGCAGTGGTTTCAAAGCAGGTTTCAGCCGTTCCCGTCCTTTCACCAGCCCCATTCCTCTGTCACTGGTGACAGGGTGGACTGACCACTGTGGGGCAGAGCCCACACAGAGTGGTGGGATCTGCTTCGGGACCTCGATTCCTCCAAGCAAAATCAATAAACTGGAAACAGAAGGAAATTTGACGGTTTTTACTAATGTCTTTTAGTAAATTAGTGCCTGGCAGTGCTGGTTACACATTGGAGTGCCTGAAGTTACAGATCTTTTCTAGAAGATGGCTTTCAGCTATCTTGTATTTAGTGACCCAGGTCAGGGTCATGACTTTGGGGCTGAAATAGATATTCGCTCTCTGTGATCTCGCAGCTGCCTGATGTTTAAGGTAATGTTTGCTCCAGGCAATCACCAAGGAGCATAACTAAAACTCTGAATCCTTTTTCAGGGTCTAAATCACTCCCACAGGCATTTTTTTGAAAAGAGAAAGTGAAGATGGAAGTAACTGCCGCGCTTGGGGGATCCCCCTGGTCCTAGGTCATTTCAAACCAGAGCAGTTTTCCATCATGTTTTCCCTATCGATGCTCTTGTCGGTTGTTGTCACCGGTGAGCCAGGTATTGCCCCAGGCATCACTCACCTCTTGCACATCCGTGTTCAGCTGCGCTGGTTGTGTGGGAGAGGCTGCGTGGTGTTGCCCAGATTTGCGTTACCCTTTGGACAACCGCTGCCATCCAGTTCCCACAGAGAGTTTCCAGCTGAGCTGAGCGCAAGTGTTCGTGTAGTGTGAGAAGGTGAAGGAAGGCAGGCTGTGGTGTGAAGTTCCGTATTGGTAAGGAGGTACTCATCTATTTGGCACTCTTTTTGGCACTCTTTTTGGCACGTGTGAGGCCACAGCTGGATACTGGGTCCAGTTTGGGACTTTCCAGTACAAGAAAGGTTTAGACACCCTGGAGTGACCTGGCCATCAGGATAGTCGGGGGGCACAGGATGGCAATCAAGCACTGGGACAAGGACCCAGTAGAAGCAGTAGGATCTTCATCCTTAGAGCTACTCAGCCTTTGACCGAACAAGAGGTTGGAGCAGAGACCCCGAGAGGTCCCTTCCCACCCTATCCAAGGGGGCTTGCTGCAAACTGCCAGAGGGAAGCAAGACTCCAAATCTTTTTACGTTTCCCACTGTTTTGTGGTATCAGGTCTGACAGGGAATGCTGCTGTATGTGACAAAGAAACAAGGCCCTCTCCTAAGCTGTGATCTTTTTGTATCATGGTGTGCTTCCCTGCATCCTCCTCCTGCACTTAGGAGTAACTGAAATCTTGGCTTTTAAAATCTGCCACCAGCAAACGGAGAACATTTTTGGGTGGCGCTGCCAGTTCCCAATGTGAATTAGGAAATTATTATTTTCCCTTAGAAAATGGAAGTGTCAGATTCAAAACAGACTTGGGTAAACGCATGGGTTTTCATAACTAAAAGAAAGAAACCACAGGAGCCAGTACCAGGTTAGAGCATGTTTCTACGATGCAGGGCAAGGAAATGGCCTCCTTTCTCTTCCCTACTGCACAAGTCCTTTGTGCCAAGCAGGTGTTTTTCCTCTGTTAATTGAGAAGTTTGTCTGACCTGTTTGTTTCCCCTTTTTAGGCCATGAACCCGGACTTGTGCAGCTGGTGAATTACTACAGGGGAGCAGACAAGCTGTGCCGCAAAGCATCTCTGGTGAAGTAAGAAATTCACTGAAATGTTACGTGGGATTGGCAGAAGTTTTTCTTCTAACCATTGTCGAGTGTTGAACCTGTTTGGAGGGTGTTTCACAGAACAGCTGCCCTGCGAGTGTCCTAGCATGTGCTGTCTTCAGCCTCTTGCACTGGTCTCTAGAGCTATCTGTGTGCACAAAGACCTCTTTGTAACTTCAGGGGAAATGCCGTTTCCACTGAATTACATTTGCTTGAAACCATAGAGTGTATTGAATCAGATCAGAGCCAAATCAAAAGGAAAAAAAACCCCACATATCTGCTCTTTTTCCTTGTAGACATTTAATTAAAACCTACTCCTTTTATTCTCTGTTTCATACAGAGATCAGACACTAATAAGCCTTTAGCTAATCAGATTTGTTGGTCAAACAAATGCTTGGAGACATCTTCAGGAAGAGCTCTGGGAGTTACTTCTGCATGACCAGCCATGCCAGGATCTCCTGGGGACATGTGGATGAGCTTTCATTGTAGATAACCCTCGTCCCTGTGCAAACTCTGCGGCCATTAGGGCATCTTCATGTCAGAGCTCTTGATCTCCTTCAAGCGTTGGATTCCACCTTAGTGTCTGCGCTGCCTCCTGCTGATGCTGTCCTGCAGACTGTGTGTGCTGATCCAAGGCCTCTCCTTCCCCTGGGAAGAACCTGGTCCCAATTGCTTTCTTTACAGTGGTGATGGTGTTTGTCAGGAATTAGCAGAGTATTTTTTAAACAAGCATTCACAGCGCTCCCCAGCTAGATTTGTCTGCGGCCCGTGGTCTAGAGGCAGTGCTGAAAGTGCTTGCACACCTGTTTTTCTCTCCTGAAGCTTGGCTGACCTTTATAACTGTGGGGTCAACCGTGCATCAAGCTACTTACGAACTCAAGGTACCACAAATTACATTCCCCAGGGCTCCCAGGGTGTCACTGACTGCCTGCCATTTCAGAGAGGCACAAATACACAGAGAGAGTCAGCGAGTCAAGAGCTCTGCTTTTGGCCTTAAGTAAAGCACAGAGTGAGCATTCAGAGAGGCAGGCGGCTCCCTTGACTCTGAAAGAAGACAGGCCTGGGCTCTGCTAACAGGAGTTTGCTGGCATCTCTAGACATTACTGGTAGGAGAGATGTGCCAGAGAGATCGGAGACTGCATGACGCAAGGGGTAGCTGTGTCCTTGCTTTCAATGAGTTCCCAGTGGTCTTCATCCACAACTGCAACACCTGATCAGATCTCAGTGGGGATGGGATCAAGAGCTAAGCACCGGCACAGAGAACGTTACTGCTCTGGCTTCCCTTTTGCCTGTTGCGATCACAGCATCCTTCCTGCCCCGTTCTGTGTTAGCAAACACATCTCCGCAGTTCCCTTGTGCAGAGATGGTGCAGGGAACGCACTGCAAGCTCTAGTGACATGGAAACTTCTCTGCTGATTGTTTCACAATATCCAGAGTATCTACAAAACGTTTAATGAAAGCGTACAGGTCTGTTTCAAAGAGCAGTGCTTGGCTGCAGGTTGGGGTTGCCATGATATCTTTAGGAAAACCCTAATTTCAAGGATCTAAGGAAAATATAATAATTTAGCACAGACTGTCTGTAAGCTGCTATTTATCACCAAGCAGAAGAGCCCAGTTAATGGTGATTTTTACATATTAAATGATGTCTGTGCAGACGGGGGCACTCTGGAGATTAACAGCCTGTCTCTCTTCACCCAGGCTAATCAAGACAAGCCCTGAACTATCGGAGTCCTGCACGTGGTTCCCTGAGTCGTACGTGATTTACCCAACAAACTTGAAGACCCCTGTGGCTCCAGCACAGAATGGAATTCACCATCTCATAAACAACACAAGGACAGATGAGCGGGAGGTCTTCCTGGCAGCTTACAACAGGCGGCGGGAAGGCAAAGAAGGCAACGTCTGGATCGCCAAGTCCTCAGCTGGTGCCAAAGGTTCATTCTCCAGCAAAATGAGCCACGCTCTCGTTATTCCTTACTCTTTACTTGATCAGTAGAGTCCCAGGGTTTGGCTGAACCCAGCTGATATCTAGCGTGTCTATGCAGGGCTTCACCTACCAACTTCATGCCAGTCAAGCCAGCACAGGGCTCTCCTTTGTCTGCTGGGTGGCATGGGGCTCCTGACAAGCATTGTAACATGCATATGCTACCTAGGACATGGATGGCAGTGAAAGGACCTCTACTTTTCTATACATGCGCCTCAAAATGCGTGAAAGTTTGCTGCAGGGAGAAGGCAGCAGGGACCAGCAGGCGAGGGGAATGTGGAGAGCAGGAGATAACAGGGAGCAGAACAGGCTGGGGGGAGGAGGGCAGCAGGCAGGACAGCAGCCTTCAAGGGCAAGGAGCCCAGCTCTCCATGCTGCAGCTAAGCCTGGTTTCACCCGGGCAGAAATACACTGCTTGTCTTTCAAGCGAACCCAGATGCCTGGTGCCAATGGCCTACCCGTGGTCATGCTGAGAGACTGGCTGAGCAGCCACGAGCTCAGGGCATCAAAATTACACCCAAGCCTCAGGGAAAGGTACCAGAGCAAAGACAAGCAATGCAATGTCTGTATGTCCCTTTAATTTGAGTAAGGCAATAGATACCTAAGTGATAACGTGTCCGTCCTTGTTCCAGGGTCGTTGCATCGCTCGCTCTACAGAAATAATGAGCTATTAGAAGAGATAGCTGGACACAGCTATAGATGCAATGGTTTGGTAACTATGTGCTGTCTGTTACAGCAGTATCATGGGCACGTTATCAGAATGGCTTCATGAAAACCTGCCTTGCCATGTGTGCAGACCCTGGGCAGCAGAGCCCAGCCTGAGGAAGGACCTGATCTTTTCAAAGGGAACAAGCCCACATATATTACTCATATTTGCAGAGTCACTTTTGATGCAGTCTTACAAAAATCACCAGAGAATGTGAAAGCCAGAGGTGGCTGCAGGGAGGCTGCATGGTAAAACTGTCCTTCATGCTGGCTTCCTACACTGCTGTGCTCTCTTGGCTGTGTTTCCAAGAAGCATCAGAAGAGTATGCTTATTTTCATCAGGGAGGAAGGGAAGATAAGTCCTTTCATTATGCCAGTGAGGGAATGTGTTTCTGTGTGGTATAACTGTCTGGCAAAGAATCAGTCTGGGCAGTTGAAAAGGCCATTGCTGTGGTTCGCTGCAGGATGGGGAGGTTTAAACTCTCCACGCGCTTTATTCAAGTGCGATCCCATCTTTTCTGCATTAAAGCAGAGTAACCTTTCATTTTCATTAGTGTGCTGCAGAACTCAAGCTGGGAATTAAAGTGGAAAGCAGAGCCTCATGTTAATCTTCTAAAGGGAAGTTTTAAATGTGTGGAGATTACTTCTGATGAAGAAGAAAGCTTGTTGACATCAATTGCCAAGGCAGATCCGGCTCAGGCATAGCCCCTGACTTGGGACAGGTCTAGTGGAAGCTTGGTTGTCCGTCAGTAAAAGGAAAATGAAGGGTTTAGGGTGTCCTGACTTAAAAGTTGAGAGATCTTTCAATTGTGGCTAGATATTGTGGTGTTTTCTTTGAGAGAAGGGACAGCTGCCCCACATAAGCTGCTTTGCTGCCTCACTGGGTTGCTGACTAGGTGCATGGTTAAGCTAACCCCCGCCTTGATTCCACCGTCTGTCCAGTGCAGAACGGGTGCCTGCTGATCTTCCCACTGCAGGGGCTTTAGTGGCTTACAGAGATGATGTTTCTTTCCTTCCCCAGTGCACAGCCTGTGGGTGTAGCAATGCAAAGTTCTGCCTGGCTCTGCTGTGATCAGGGGACTAAAAATCTTGCCCCCCCGCATAAACCATGCGTAAGAAAGATACTTCGATAAAAGGATTTCAAGTCATCAACTTTAGTCCAAAAAAGTTAACTAAATGCCTGAAGACTGGACATAATGCCAGAGAAGTGTTAGATAATTTTACCTGAGCTGGTTTATCCCTCAGGTGGCACCGTGCCATCCCTTTATCAAATCCCAGAAGGGATATGTTTTCTCTTCATTGCTCTGCAACAGTGGTTTCATATCTGGACTCTTGAAAGAAATGAACAGCGACAGCTTCAGCCAAAATGTGGCAGTATTTAAACGGCACATCTAACTTCTTTAATGAAGAGCTTCCACAGCAGGGGAAAACACTGACTACATGGATGAACATTTTGAAATAGGTTTTTTCCTAATTCAGCAATGATTTTAATAGTAACTTAAATGAACTCGGTGAGCAGAGCAACACTGCGCAAGTGTGCATGTGTGACTGCCTCTGGCAGCCAGAAAAGCCAGGCAGGGGGAGAAAGTCTGAGTCTAGGATAAAAAAAACCCACAAACCTCCCTCCCCAAATTAAAAACAAAAAAAAAAAAAAAAAGGGAGAAGTCTCACAGACAAACTGCCAAAAGCCCTGTTCTCCAAACTGCTGAAAAACAGGGAAAAACAAAACAAAATTCAACAAGTGCTCAACACATGTGCCACCCCACCCCCCCACCAAGCCCCGCTGGAAAAAACCACCAGAAAAGGAAAAAAAATCCCCCAAACCAAGCAGCTGCCTCACTGCTTGCCTAGGTCCCTGTCTGCTGTGCATCCCCTCACTCCTAGATAGCCACCCCCTGCAGACAAGCCCCAGGCAGGCCATGCCATCTCAGCTACCCTTGGTTTCCGTTTGCATTAGCTCCCATTACGGGGGAGCCAGATACCCCATGGCGTGGTAACAGGGAGATCCGTCCGCAGATTCACTGCCTGACGCTGAGCGAACATGACATCGCTTGGGCACCGACCAGCCCTGGGGCCGTGGGTTCTCGCATGTCGAGTGGCTTTTTGGGCAAATGAGCCATGGTCCGCTTGGGCCCTGAGAAAGCTCCAGCTAAGGTAGGAGGATCCTCTGCCTAATTTTGTCTTTGTCTTTCTGTGCCAGGGGAAGGGATCCTGATTTCTTCAGAGGCTGCAGAGCTCCTGGACTTCATCGATGAGCAGGGACAAGTGCACGTGATTCAGAAATACCTGGAGAAGCCTCTGCTTTTAGAGCCAGGGCATCGCAAGTTTGACATCAGGTAACCTTTTCTGCTTTTGTAATAATACCAGTTTTCATTTTGGTGCTGTTTCTTTTTAAGCCACTGAGACTAGAGTTTGTCTTCTCGCCCCCCAGGAGCTGGGTTCTCGTGGATCATCAATATAATATCTACCTCTACAGAGAGGGTGTCCTGCGGACCTCTTCCGAACCATATAACAGTGCTAATTTCCAGGACAAAACCTGCCACTTGACCAATCACTGCATTCAGAAGGAATATTCCAAAAACTACGGGCGGTATGAGGAAGGGAATGAAATGTTCTTTGAGGAGTTCAACCAGTATCTGATGGATGCCCTGAACACAACGCTTGAGAATAGCATCTTACTGCAAATCAAACACATAATAAGGTAGCCAGCTGCCTGTTGCATAGGGGAACATGACCCTTCAGTGACAAGGAATGTGTATGGACACAGCTGGGGAAGCAGAAAGACCAAAAAGGGAAGGGTTTCAATTGCATAAATTTAAGATAAAGCCATAAACACCCCGGTATCCTTGCTCAATGAAAAGGGACCTCCGTAGGTGCTGTTCTCTCAAGGGTATGTGTCGACATGTCTGCATTTTGCCAGCTGTGGCTGGAGAAGGATGGAGTTGAGATCACTTGGTAAGGGAAGCGGGTAGGTCGAAAGACAGGGCTGGGAGAGGTTGAGGTTAAAAAAGGTATAAGGTGTAAGAGGGGAAATGAAGCCGGACTCGAGTCTGCAGGATCTCACTGCTTCCCCCGCCATCAGCAGCACATCTCATTGGCATAGGTTGTCTTACTCGGTCCCCACAGAGCCAGCTGCCTCCTGGGCACGGAAAGTGCCTGGAGAGAGATCTCAGACATCACAGTGCCATGGAGAATCCAGGTCTTGACAAAGTGATCCTTCGCGGCGGAATTTACTTTGCAAGTACCCTATTGCTGGTACTTACTCCAAAAGGACACGACACAATCTTTGAGGGACTCGGAGGCAAATGAGCTCTCAATGGAAGTTCCTTGGGGACCTGGTGCAGTCCTTTGTGGCTCTGCCTTCTGCTCCAGGCTCTAATTGCACATCACGTTTTTCAGCATTGCCTAATCCAGTAGCGAGGGTGGCTGCTGCTCTCCAGCTCTTTGGGGCTTAACTCAGGGGTGTCCCCACGTGTGATTTGATGGTTGCATGATCTCACTCGCAGGGACCTGGTTACCATGATGTGTGTTGGATATAGCTTGTAATTTGGGGCAGTCCCAGGGCAACAGGGGACCCCTCCACTTACCTGTGCTATGCACGTGCCCTCAGAAGCTGCAGCACGACACGTGTGTCTGCTGGGCTTTTCATCTTGAGTTTCTGTTTTTCCCTTCACAGAAGCTGCCTTATGTGTATAGAGCCTGCGATTAGCACGAAGCATCTTCACTACCAGAGCTTCCAGCTCTTTGGCTTTGACTTCATGGTGGATGAGGAGCTGAAGGTCTGGCTGATAGAAGTCAATGGGGCCCCGGCGTGCGCCCAGTGAGTAATCAGTTTCTGTAATACCCTTGCGATTCTGCCATTCACATGCCTCACCCAAAACATGGCCATGTCCCAGCTCCAAGTGAAAAAGGTGGAAGAAAGCGAATGGCAGGGGAGTTTTCCAGGCTAACCCATACCGGACACTGCTCTAAGTGCCACTTGATTTAAGTTTCTTGCTCCTGTTTCTGTGTTTGGTATCCCCCAGCTTCCTTCCCATGTGAGATGGGGCACTAACCTCAGGTTTTGGACAAATGGGTTTGAATATAACTTGGGTCATTTTTATTGACACTGTTGGGTTGAAGTTATGTTGCAGAATTAATGCTTTGGGGGTCAGGTGGTTTCTCAGTCTCTCTTGTGGAGCCACTGGTGGCTGGTCTTTACCTGAACACATGATAAATGAGTAGCATTAAGGGCAGCAGCTGGAAGTGAGTGACTGAATTTGCAGGCAGCGGGACCCCAGAGCACACTCTGGATGCTGCAGACATTGGATCAAAGCCTCCACCAGCCAGAGGGAGGCTGGGACAGCCAAACAGCCATGGCCATGAACGTCTTTGCATAGGCACAGCGGGAGATGCTGTATTATGTGGTTGAGACAACTGCAGGAGACTAGAAATCTTTGCTAAATGGGCATCTGTATTGTATACAAGCCCAGTAAAACAGAACAGGCTGTACATCACTATATTAGAATTTTATTAGATTAGATTAGATTAGATTAGATTAGATCATCACTAACAGTAGACAAAAAATACAGGTCAAACCTACCAGACAGCCTGTTCAGCAGCCTTTTCAGGGCCAGGGCTTGGGGAGCTTTCTGTGTCCAGGACACCCCGTTCAGCATATGCACCGTGGTGCAATACTGCCTTGCACCTCCTTCTGGTGCTGTATGGGTAGAATCTGGCTGCTGCTGGGTGGATTTGGGTTGCAGCAATGCCCTGTTTGCTTTGTTTCTCTATGGGTACTTGGAAGCCATCAAAAGCAGCTGAGGTAGGTTTTGGCTATTTGTGGCTTCTCCTCTTCAGGGTTATTCTAACTTACAGCACCCATATCACACAGTACCCATTTGAAAGACAAAAATTGGCTGCTGAAAGCAGTAACATTCCCAGGAGCTGAAAAAGCATCTTACTGTCATGTAGCCCCAAAGGCACAGGGTGGAAGACGTTGTTAATCCTAGTAAAGACAGCTTTGGTGCTAAAAATGTCCCAGATGCCAGCATGTTCAGGGAGGTTGCACATGTATTTCCTTCAGCAGAAAGTGAAGCTATTGTTAACTCATTTCTCAAACACCTTGTCTCTCTTCTCCCTAATCCTGCTCTGCATAAGCTGTGCCACGGTGAAGCACATCCCGCACTTCCGAAGGGTCCTGTGAAGTCTCTGTGCCTGTCACAAGCCGATGTGCACAGCTGCACCCCAGTGCAGCATTTCATCAAACCATGAATGCATCAGTGCAGTCCTTCTGGGGCACATCCCCACATGAACGGGGTCTGGTGTGATAATCACGACTCCCCATCTTGGAAGGCGGGTACAAGGGGTGCTCAGCTGTTGTCTGCCCCCGTGCATCTTGCAGTGACTCAGGTCTGGGGCCTGAGGGCATGGAGACTCTGCTCAGGAGCCTGTTCTGACAGTAAACTTGGATAATGGGTTTTGTCTGGCAGAGAGCAATATTGGGAATGGGAGTGCCGTTGAAAAAGAAGACAGTTGCTGGGGTAGGCGGGGAGGAGATGGAAGAGATGCCACCCTCCTCCTGTTTGCCACCCTGGAGCTACCTGTAATGGGAGCAGGATCTCATAGATCCTCACAGATCTCATAGATCCTGCTGTGAAAATGCATGTCTATGTAAAAATTGGTTGGAGGCTTGCTGGTTTGTCCTGCCTGGGCATCTGATTCTCTCTTTCTCGTCTCTTAGGAAGCTGTATGCAGAGCTCTGCCAAGGAATTGTGGATGTAGCCATCTCTAGCGTTTTCCCCCTCAGTGACACTGGGCAGAAGACAAGCCAGCCATCATCGATCTTTATCAAGCTGTGATGACAACAGGACTGCCTCTGCTGTGC